GGGTTGTGCATGTAGCCAGTCATTCTGGGGACTCTTCATGTCTGTGTTCCAGAATCTGTTTTCTCATGTCTGATCTCCCAGGGGTCTGTGTAAGACCTATATTCTTCTTTTGGTTTTTCTTCATTTGTGCGGTTTTTCCCCCTCCTTACTTTTTCCTTCCCTCCACGTCACCGTCTTCTTTAATTTTGGTCACATTTCAGTGAATACATGTTGCTAATTTTGAGTTCCTTCCTTTCTCAGGGACATGAGAAGTCCTGTTACTCTTTCTCTTCTCACACAAAAGCTCTTTTTCTCCATCCATTCTTATTTAGGGCTTTATGAGAGCACTTTATCATTTAGTTTTTAGGTAGATACTAAACTTTCGTTTTGCTTAGTTTAGTTGCTCTATCTTTATGGGAGAGTTTATAATTACATACTGCCATTTTTTCACAATCTTCCCAAGAAGATTTTTTTTTTTAAATGAAAGCAGTTTCCAGGCATGAATTAGGAGGAAAACATTAAGATGTTCTGTGATTATATTTCAACATTGTAAAGATTGATACTTTAAGGCGCTAAAATAGAAATTATAACAGTCTTGTAGATAACATCGAAACTTGGTTGTCTGGGATTCAAGGTAGACGTGGTCATCTGTATCTTTCTATGGTACTCAGAGAAACAGACTTATTTGGAAAGAGAAATTGGCTCTATTTGGAGCAAATTTAGAGGAAGTGGTTAAGGGTCTCAAAGCTGTTTTATATGAGAAAAGGTTGAAGGGAATAAGGCTTTGCTTAAGTAAGAGAAGATGTTGGGATCGTGCCATTAAATGTATTTTGTATGTTTCCACATAGAACTGGTATCAAAGGAATAAACCTCCAAAGGGACAGATGAGGGCTTAAAGTTAACAGTAGTTTTCTCATTATCAGCAAACTTTAAAGAGGGTGTTATTTTCTTACAACTAGCAATTCATTTCTTACAGGATGTATTAAAAAACAAACAGTTCACCAGATTGAGTTCATGCTTTAGAATGGTAGTTGCACTGCATAGTCTTCATGTCTCATCCACCTTGAGTTTTAGCATTGACTACCTTGAGCTTCTTGCAGTTTAAATGGCTGGAAAACTATATTATACTTTGTACACTTAGTTTGCATATTGATTTATTTTAAAAAAACAAAATGGACAAAATGCCAGTAATTCAAATCCTAATGGTACATCTCTAGTAAGCCCTCAATGGCAAAATGCGTCTTCATCTTTTCTATCTTTCACACATATTGTAAGACCTTAAACACGGAGATGCTTAATATGTATTTATTGAATTTACCTTGCAGGAAAGACTCTCTGCTGATTTGGGACCATATTTGGTAGAACTTATCTTTTTTTATAAGTTAACAATATAACTGATTGCTGTAGTTTCAAGCAAATCTACTTGCATGTATTTTTAAACAATGCTAGCTTAAAATACTTCAAAGACTGAAATGATATAAAGCATATGTCAATCATTCTGTGGGCTGGGTCCATCCTCCAGGTTCTAATGAATAAGAATGACTTCGTTCTCTTGAGTTCTAGGGAAGCATTATTAATATGAAGAAAAAGATATGCCTTCTATGAAATCATCTCCCAGTAAGGAATCTATAGCTAAATGAAAAGTGATTGAAACAAAAATATAAGTTTCATGTCCTCAGGTGCCTTGACTATACCAGTGGTTTATAAAAGTTGTCTTTGGAATGTTAGATCATTAAATGTTAAGCCTAGAGAGGCATTTGGAGAGTATCCATTTGAGACATTCTTACTTAAAGGATAGTTATGGGCTTTAAGGGTTTGTGAACCCATTAAAATTATGTACAACTTTTGCATGTTTGTGTATGTGGGCATTTTTTAGGGAAAGAGTCATTTTCCTTTGATTCTTAAAGGTATCTTGATCCTAAAAAAATTTCAAAATGAATGAGTCCTAATCCGTTCCTTTATAATTAAAGGTAGACAAAGAGGAACAGAAATGCATTGACTTACTTAAAGCTCTCTTGCTAAATACTGATGGAACCAGGGCTATTCCTGTTTGAATGAGGGCTAGTGGGCCTTATTCTAGGCAGATTTTTGTATTTACTCTTTTAATTCTTTAACTATTCTTAGAAGTAGCTGCATTTATTGCCCCCATTTTGCAGATGAGAAAACTAAGGCAGAGAGGTGAAATAACTTTCCCCAGGTCACACAGTGAATGAGTGGCCGAAGAGGATTTGCACCTAGGCACTCTGGTTTCCTGAGATTACATACCCTTAACAACTATACTGTCCCTCACAGAGAGTTTTCCAGAATGCCACATAGTCAGTAAACTATATTTTCAGTACTTTGAGAGATGGAATTTGGGATGTGAAAATGATTCTTGTTTGTTGTAAAATACATGAAGCATTTTTATAAGTTTTTATAGAGTTAAACATACTGAAGTATTTGTTTTTCCTAGCATGCAATGATGCTGCCTGTTTTGACCCATCATATCCGCTACCACCAATGCCTAATGCATTTGGACAAGTTGATAGGATATACTTTCCAAGATCGTTGTCTGTTACAGGTAAGAATTACTCTCCTGTAAACTCACATAATAACAAGATAGGAGCAATTCATCTTGCAGGTTACTAATGGTACATTGGGTTCTTTATCCTGTGAAGTGACAAGGATTTTTAGAAACATAACTCTCCATTACTCTGGTTGCCTCTGTCACTTTCCAGTCCTTTCTCTCACATTTATTTGACGCTGTCCCTAAAGAAATTGGCTAAAGCTAAAATTTGCCTGTCAAACCTGAGCACCCTCTTTCAGCTTTTCCTTCTTTATGGCACTCCTTTCCAAGTGCTGAGTATTCTCACTCTCCTCTGAAAGATGTGGATTTTTAGGTTTGTTTTCACAAGAGGGCTTGGCCAGATCTCTGGAAATTTGATACTGGAGGAGATAAGATGAAAAGATAAGGACTTAAAATTTGACTGAATAGACAGCTCTTTTTCTGTTTCATTGGGGATGATATAAGGATACTGCTTCTATGCTGAGTTTATTTCATTGAAATTGTAGCTGGCCATGACTCATCCAAGTCATCATTTAAATTTTGGAATGAATCCTGATCATGCCAGGAATTCTTTATCCAACTGTGGAATTCGGCAGCCCAAATATGGAGACAGAAAAGTTCATCACATGCACATGAGGAAAAAAGGTACGTTTGGATGACTATAAGATTCTACTGTCCTATATTAGCCTGTGTTCTCTATTGTAAATTAAATCTCCACCCCATGGATCTGTGGATAACTCTTTCACCCTCTTCATATCCTAGTGCTTACTGACTCATATAAAATAACATTCACTTTGAGCAGAGCATTATAAAAAGAGTGGTTGAACTTTTCAGAAAAGTTTCTTTCTCCTATCAAGTGTTTTAAATAATTGTTTATTAAACCTTTAAATGTGTAGGTGTTAGACGTTTTATAGTCAAATTGAGATGAGATCATTTTCTTTCTACATGTCATATGATATTCTAGAATACTTCCTATGGTACTTACTTATATATTTGTTTTTTGTTTTAAATAGGAATTAACACCTTAATAAATATTATGTCACGCCTTGGCCAAGATGACCCAACTCCCTCAAGGTAAATAAAGTAGATTTTTTTAAAACAGCTTTATTGAAGTAGAATTCACTTACCATGCAATTTACCCATTTAAAGTGTACAATTTAGTGGTTTTTACTATGTTCACAAAATTGTGCATCCATGGCCACTATCTAATTTTAGAACATTTTCATCACCCCAAAGAGAAACCCTGTGCCTGTTAGGAGTTACTCCGCATTTTCTCTTAGCCTGCCCAGTCCTAGGCAATCACCAGTTAACTTTGAACCTCAATGGATTTGCCTGTTCTGAGCATTTTATATGAAAGGTATCATATGTATCAAATGTGATCTTTTGTGACTGACTTCTTAGCATATTGTTTTCAAGATTTGTGAATGGCACAGTATGTATCAATACTTCATTTCTTTTTATTGACAAATAATATTCCATGATATGAGTATACCACATTTTGTTTATCCTTTCATCAGTTGATGGGCATTTGAGTGTTTCTACTTTGGGGCTATTGAAATGTTGGTATGAATATTTGTGTGGAAATAAATTTTGATTTCTCTTGGGTATATATCTAGGAGTAAGATTGTTGAGTCACATGGTAACTCTACTTAGGCTTTTTAGGAACTGCTAGACTGTTTTCCAAAGTGGCTGCACCATTTTGTATTCCCAGCAGCAATATATCAGAGTTCCAATTTTTTGGAACATATTCTTTGCCAACACGTTATTAACTGTTACTATCAGCTACTGGGGAGGCTCAGGCGGAAGTATCAAGAGGTCAGGGCTGCAGTGAGCCGTGATCATGCCACTGCACTCCAGCCTGGGAAATAGAGTGAGACCTTGACTTAGAAAAAAAAAAAAGGAAATACAACTGATTTTTGTATATTGACCTTGTATCCTCCAACTGTGATGATCTTATTTATTAATCTAACTCGAATAGTTTTTTAGTGGATTCCTTAGGATTTTCATATATATGAGATTATATTACCTGCAAGTAGGAATAGTTTTACCTCTTTTCTAATTTGGGTACCATTTAATATTTTCTTAACTAGATTGCCCTGGCTAGAGTCTTCAGTACAGTATTACATAGAAGTATTGAGAATAGTTCTTTGTCTTTCCGATCTTAGTGGGAAAGCACTAAGTTTTTCACAGTTGAGAATGATGTTTGCTAGTGTTTTTTTCATAGGTTCCCTTTATTGAAGTAAAGAAGTTCTCTTGTATTCCAGGTTTGCTGAGTATTTTTAATCCTAAAAAAGTGTTGAATTTTTTGACATACTTTTTCTCTGCAGCTATTGACATAATCGTGTGGGTTTTTTTTTTCTTTTTTCTACTCTTGAAGTTTGTTATAGTAATTGATTTTGGATGTTAAACCAACCTTATCTTCCTGGAATAAATTCCCTTTGATCACAATGTATAACCATTTCTATGTGCTGCTGAATTCCTTTGGTGGTATTTTGCTGAGGATTGTTGTGTCTAGATGCATGAGAGATATTGGTTTGTAGTTTTCCTTTCCCTTGATATTTGTCCGGTTTCATTATTCTGGCCTCATAAAGAGTTGGAAAGTTCTACAGGTTAACTTTTCTTACTTTATTTCCTGATTTTATAAGATACCTTCATATATTAATATTTTCACTTCTGTGTAGCCTTGATCCCCTGAAGAATCTGGGAATAAATTGGGCTAGGTCTACATGAACTCATTAAGGCCCTTTAAAAATTGAATGTGAACAAATGCTTAATGGTTTGATGGGGCTCTGATATTGCTTTCAGGAGAATTATCTTTGTGTGTGAAGTATAGCAGGTTATATTTTGAAAGCTGGTAGAGGAGATTGTTTGAGGGTGGCTTTCTTTTTAAAATGAGGAGTTGAAAACTTGAATAGCTATGTTGTCACTCTGGAGTCTCCAGACTTAGATGGTTTAGCGGCGGGGAGAGCAGGGTTAGAAGTGACAGGGAGTTGAGGCAAACACCTCAGCTGCTAACCAGCCTTCACAACTAAGAGAATTGCCAGACATGGCTGGCACAGTTTCCTTTTCTACTGTTTTCTTCATATATCACCTTTCTTTTAAAATTAGCTTGCCTTGAGTTGCTCTCTTTTGAGGTTATCATAAACCAAATTTATTCAATCAAGAGATAAAAAGAAAGACAGGATGGAGCTTTAAAGTTCTTGTTTGAAGATGATCATATGCCTCACTATGGTGTTCCATGAGTCTAAGACAGAAAAGAACTAATTAAAAGAGCCTTTAGTCACACCCTCAGGAATATTGTGACCATGGTTTCATTTTACCTGACTACATTGTAGAGTCTCTGTATTTTAATAAGTGGAATTCTGCCTACCTCTCAGCCATTCTAATAAGGCTACACACACCATAGATATGTGCTTTTCAGTAATGAAAACCTGGGTTTAAATCAACTTTGCTTCATCTATCCCCTCTTGCCCCACAGTTGTTAGTGTGTAAATTGTCTATTGATAACATTGCTCGGACCTCATGATTTCTAAAAACATGACTTTCTTTCGGTAGAGAAGGAATGATATCTGAGAAACTATATTATGTCTGAATTTGCCATTTTGAAAATGGAACCATTGACAGAGAAGAAACAAATAATCTCTCTTGTTCTGGCCTTTGCTGCTTAAGTTGAGAGCCTCTTGCTGTGAATATGATCTTTTTGCTGATGCACAGTTGACCCCAAGCGTCTGTTTAGAAAGAGCCTCCTAACCTTGGCCTCCAGGGTCTGCTGCTGTTTGGCTTCTGCTAGCTGGCATCCCTCAGGCTGTGCACAGTACCGGAAGCTGTGCTTAATTAAGAAGCTTCTTATAGGGACTAATAGTCCCTAAGACTGAGGTACTTACTGGGTTGTCAAGTATACCCTCTCCCTTCCCCTGCCGCTGATCTCATTTACAACTATCCCTGCAATGCTGTATAACCTTGACGTTCTGCTCAAATCCTGCTGGTATTTGTTTTATGGTATATATTTTTGTTCTCCTCTGCATTATAATTGTGCTATGAGGCTATTTTTCTTTACTAGACTGTAAGGATTTTGAAGATTTATGGCCCAACTCTTCTGTTTTTCCCCTTTCCTTTGTAACTAGTGCCTTCTACAGAACAGGTACTTAGTAAATAAGTATCAAAGGAAAGAATGCCTTCATCACATTACTTTTATACCTGGTTATACTTAAATGCTTGTTGACTAGATAAAAATAGAGCAACGAGGACTTCAAGAAGGGTTATGGTCAGCAGAGGTTTAAATGACTGGATATTATCTTACTTAATCTCATTTGAGATCAGCTAGGATTTACAGAATGGCATGAAGTCTTAAAATTAATAAATAACTGTTGATAGCCTGTCTGCCTATCAAAACTACAAAATAATTGACTTTTTTAATGGCATTATCTCAAGCAAATATGCCACTCATAATTTTTAAGAGTGTCCCTGTTTAACCACCTAATCTCAGTTGTATAGTTATATTTAACTAATGCAAATTGCAGTGAACTGTTACCACAAAAAGAATCTCTCAAGGATTTGGCATTTGCTGACATTCAGGTAATTCACATATTAGCAGTAAGACCTTTGGGAAGGAATTGCCAGAAAAGTTGTAATGGAAGAATGAGAAAACCAAGCAACCTTGGCTTTTTAGTTTGTTTGTTCATTTGTTTTGATTGGTGAGTCATTGCTACATATAATGTATAAAAATCTATTGGACCAACAGAGAGGCATATATGGACAATTATTAATGTCTGTGTATTTAAGGAGTAGTAGTTGCAAAGCATATTTTCAATCAGTTATTCATAAGTATTTTGCGTTAAAAATACAATAACAGGTCAAGCTCAGTGGCTCAAACCTGTAATCCCAGCACTTTGGGAGACCAAGACGAGAGGATTGCCTGAGCTCAGGGGTTCGAGACCAGCCTGGGCAACTTGGCAAGACCTCATCTCTACAATAAATCAAAAAATTAGATGGACATGGTAGCGTGTGCTTGTAGTTCTGGCTACTTGGAAGGCTGAGGTGGAAGAATCGCCTGAGCCCAGCAGGTCAACGCGGGGGTGGCTGTGAGTGTGCCACTGCACTCCAGTCTGCAATGGAGTAAGATTCTGACTCAAAACAAAAATAAAAAAAATACAATAACATGCATTGAATATATGTAAGTTCCCCAGAGTGGATTTGCCAACCTAAATGCTTTAAGTTAAATTCCAGAGATGGTTCACCTGGGATCTATGAGTCCAGTGGGTTTGAGATCTCTTGGGTCTGTGGACTTTCCTCCCTGCACATAATCAGGCCAAATGCAATGAGCTCAAGGAATCTTGAGTTGGGTAGAAGTTTCCACTGACCTCCAAGGCCCCCTCTTACTCTACTCTGCCAGTCACTGCTTGAGGCTTGGGGTACAAAAGTGAGAAAAGACTATCCATACCCTCTCTCTCCCAGTTACCCTTGCAATTGGTCCATTCCAAGATGGCTTTCCATGGAGTAAATGGCACCTTACAACACTGGTACAGGGAGATTGTTGTATTTTATAAAAGGCATTGAATTCCTCAGACAAAATGTGCTGTATAAATGTTACAGTTAATCTGGATTTCATAATGCCTCTGTTGGTTTGATTCTTAAAAACAAATGGGATGTTTACTGCTCTGTAAACATTTCAGCTTGGAGCCTGCTAGTATTTATAAAGGGGGTGTTTATAAAGGGGGTGTTTAAACAATGGAAGAAGGAACAAAAGATTTGCTACTGCTGTGAGGACTAGTAACTCACTCTGTTCATTTCTCCGGATAAACCATTGGATTAGGAATTGCCTAGTGTAATAATAAACTAAAGTGGTATTTAATCCCCATTTTTGTTTGTGACTTATTGCTAAAGTTTAGTCATAATGCAGGTACAGAAAAACGTATGCTGGATATGGGCAAATTACTTAATGAATAGCAGACTTACTATTGAATAAACCTGGTTAGAACTGTGACCTTGTATTTCAACAAACTGAATAATAGTCTAACTTTGTGGTTATTAAATTCCTAGACATAGTTCTTGTCTCCATGAAAGTTTATAAAAGA